AAGCAGCGGAGCAACTCAAATTTATGACGTCTGACCGTTAGATTTACGTAAACTTCGACGATCGATTTTGTAACTAATCAGCTGTCTTACCTGAATATCGCTTAACAGTATGGTAGATGGGGAGCGACTCAGTAATGCAACAGTTATAGTTTGCTTTTCACTTTGGAAAGGTTGAGGGTTCAAATCATCAGCTCAGCGTGAATTTTCGTCTATTAACTGCTCTCTTCCCATCAACATGAACTTCACTCCACTGCGTATCGGTGCAACCAACTAAAAACCAGGTAGGAAGTCCCTGACTTACGAATAATAGGACAATATGGTGTTGTGCTGTGGTCATCCGTGCGTGATACGAGACAGTTGGCCGTGGTGTCTGGCTCAGAGGCCATATATGGCAGAAATACGTATTGACCCACCTGATCGTTGATCAATACAAGGTGTAAAGCGTAAATTAAAAAATCGATCAGATTGGCGGTTATTATATGAAGAAGTATCTGTTTATCTATCCTTTATATCAAGATACGGCATTTTATTTGGCATCTGAAGCGGTATTCTATTGAAGAATCGACGGAATTGAAATAAATTTCAGATATCAGCTAGGTGGCTTTATTTTATTCTAATTTATCGCTTCCATTCCTTTCAACAGGCTCTTTTAGAGGCACTTCAAAATTTCAGTCCACGAGATGCAAATATATCTGCATCAGCAAAAGACTGAAGCATACACAAAATGTACAGTGATCTCGCAGATAGCTGGGACTCTACAAAATGAGGAACGGGAAAGATCGAATCTGTACTAATCCGAACTATACTGCTAATCAGCATAGCATATTAAATTTTGTCCATGAATGCTTTTTCTGTCTTCAGTCTTTCTTCCTTGTGTTTGGTGTTTGTGGCAGTAGTGTATTATAATTATATTCTTATTCCCGTTGATAACGTGACCGCAGAAATGCTAGTAGCTTATTATGCAACTCGTTGATTTAAGCACTAAATTTGCGGCTTCGATTTTAATTTGCAAAACGAAAGTTTTGCCGTCGTTCCACCGTAACCTTCTCTGACGGATGTTTCATATGTTCTTTTGTAAAACTTATGGTATCATTGGCCAGGGAGCCCATCACTTCACCGATCAAGAGACCCGGAATAGTAGCAGTAGATTCCTAATAAAGGAAGTCAAATGGTAGTGGAGCAGTGTAGTGAGTGAAAGTGTGTAAACAAACGAATGTTTCTTTGAACCAACGATTGTTTCCTGGTCTGTTTTCTAAATGAGGGTCTCATGCATTTTCTGAAGGTTTGGCCCTGCTGACCAGAGCTAGCCATTTGCAAACTACTAGCGGTTATTAATGACTATTTTTGCTAATGCTTTTTCAGTCATTAGTAGAAAATACGTTGTAATCACATATTTTTATCGTCTCTGAATCGGGTTGTTCATGCACAGCTGACTGTGTCAACGAACGTTTGACCCGTTGTTTCCTGTTAATCCAGGATTGCACGATCACTAGAGCTTCAGACTAAAAAGAGATATGGGGTTCTGGTCAGATCACTCTCTTGTCTTCTTTCCGAAGTTAATACACGAGTACCACTCTGTAGGAAGGAAACTACAGGAAATTACTATTGCTGTAAACTCTGCCTGCAAAATAAGGCCATCTGCCTGGCTGCTCATCACGAAAATATAGGACCGGCACTCCAATGATTGCAAGCATTCCATTCGTTTTTCCTTTGTTGTTTGTTTGCGCAAATGTCGCAACATTTCTGTGGTCATTTAACTGCTGAAACTTTTCTACTCCTCGCCATATCCTCTTCGATAGCTTCTGGAACATCATTTAATTGTCGTTTCGTCTGTGAAACTTGCATTACAGAGCTAAATAGGTTCTGATCCAGTTTGTATATATGTATGTGTGCATTTAGCCAAATAGTGCTGTAGCTTAGAACCATGGAAATGAGCCATCAGGGAAGCGATGTCTTTCTTAACCGATCGAATGAACCATTGAAGCGAAGGCAAAAGCTTTCTCATCCCATTCAGTTGTATTAAATCCGGTTTTGTAAATGTTTCTTTTGCATGTTTATGTATTATCACTCGAAAAGTCGAATGCTTTTTCTGTCGCATTGGGGCAGTTAAGCAAGTAAATTTGAATTTAATTTATTTCATTAAGCCCCGCTGTATTGTCTGAGTTCTAAGTTCTTTTCCAATTGTTTCCTTTTTCTTAGCAAAACAATGTTTACAGAGGTCAGCTTGATAAAAGAGCAGCGATTTTCCGGTCTTATCATATTTCCGAGTTATGCTTTGGTGGAAGCACCTGAAGTAGGTTTTCTGAGATGAATCACAGGGATCACGCGTTTCGACTAGGTACGACGTACAGATATTAGAAGAGAGCCTTCTCCAGGTTGAGAAGTCACATGTTGCGAATGCCTCCAGAAAGGAAGACTAGGAAACTACTACTTGTCCAGCTAATTGGTAGAAGACCCCGTGAACGGCTACGATCGACCTAGGCAACTATACTGAAGTACTATGCTCTAGACTCTGGCTGTCTTCTGCCGAAGCTCAGGCGATAACACAGGATCGGGAAAGTTGGAAGCACTATCAAAAGGCTGTGCCTCCGCGACCCCAAAGGATAAAAACTGAAGCTTTACTCGATGTAGTCTTCAGAGCTGTATTCAAGAATGGCTTGTATAGGCTCTGTTGAGGCGTTAGTTGCATTTGTAAGGTTGGCGCCGTTGTTCAATTGAAACCTTAGTTTAAGTTGGTTAATTTAAGTTAATGTTGCTGAATCGAGAGGTGGGACATAAACTCAATGCGGTAGGTTTAGACGGTAGTTGCCCATCGCACGCCAATGATATCTGTTCCTGACCTAAACCTCACAAAATACCTAACTTTTCTGAATCCATTGGACTGAATGAAGGCTCAGCTGACTGACAGTAGTTCCCTAGAGTTGACGCCCTAGATGGACTACCAAACAACCACTCACCAAAAAATTCTTAAGAGAGGAGTTTAAAGGAGCATCGGCTTTCATTCGTGGCTCGCCAACAATGAAGACAAATCGGATGAAGAAAATTAAATTAAATTTATTACTTGAATGGAGTTTCAGGAAATTCCAGTTCCCAGTGGTAGGTTAAAGAACGACAAAATAAAAAGTGGTTGCGCAGTCTAACGGTGAAGAATGAAACTTGGAAGACAAACAAATAACTAGAAATAGGATTTGCACTAATGTCTGGATCTGCGACGATACACGCTAAGCATAGGATTATGGATCTATGATAGATCTCCCTTTTTGTGTAGACATTGATATGTAATGTGATCCGGAGAGGAAATCCTCGGCATGCATGTTAATAGTGTATCATGCAGTGGGTTTTCGCTCCTGCCAAGGATAATGTTACAACTCATTATAACACCTGGACGTATTACCTGTTCGAGTGTATTAGATGACTGTCGGATGGACTCAGAGACCGGGTCCTGGCTTGATTTAATGCAACAGTCGAAAGGAAATTGAAAATATTTTCATAACCTTTTTAGCTTGGGAATTTTACGTTGTCGGTAGGCGCGCTGAAGAATTGATTCAAACGTAAACACCTCATTGAGGCATACCTCCTTACAAAGAGGTATTTTACTGTTGCAATGAACAGAGTCTAATATCTATCTGAAATCTCATTTCTAGTGGTCAGACAAATCTGGATCTAAGCATTACTAGTCTTTGCTGACAATAACAGAACAGTAATAAGAAAAGCCTGTTGACTGAATGCAGAATTGAAGTACTAATCGAAGAATTTTGCTCAGGTTCGTACTAATTAAGCAAGTAATATTATGATTTAAAGATTATTCTGATATTGCTTGATTGTAATAATCTACATATTCATTCATCGTTCACATTCATTGCTCGTTATTTCATTTTGGTGGCGGGAACACCTGCTTTATAATGTTTTTTTCAATGGTCTTGGTCCTGCGCCCAGCATTCCTTCACCATAACCTGGATTCCAAGACGCGACAGTTCCCATTGTTCTACAGAGTATCGATATCTGTTTTCTGGTCTGCCTTTTTTTCCATTTTCCATGTGAGTTTGTCAAGAGAGTTCACTGTACGAATCTCCCACAATAGGTCACGTTCCTTACCACACACCCAGACCGTCGTAATTTTGACCTCTCCGTCTGTAGAAGACGCGGCTCTTAATCCCCAATATCATGGATTTCCGTATGCCGAAGTGTTTCGAACCCTGTGCACCAACATTCCTTCTAAAAATTTCCATTTCAGAAGAATATGTCAGAAATCTAAATCTTTCAGGCATTACCCAGCACTCATAGCCATAGGTGAGGTTTGTGCTGGTACAGACTTGATGAGGGATAGCTTAGCACACCTTCTGAACAGGAATTTCCTGACGACCGATCCCAGTTAGGTCGAAACGTCAGCTCTGCTCAAAGTGAAAATATGTTCGTTGTTTCTCGTTCTGCCTAACTGTAGAATCAGAAGGTGTACCCGGATCCGGTCATCCAAGAAACAGAGTATTATAAGTCTGTTCTGTCCTTATTTTTCATTCGCTACAAGTTATTCTTTAGGTTCAAATGTGACAGGGACGTTGCGAGTGGTGATCGGTGATGGATAACTTCATGTCGTCGATCGTCGCGGCAGAGAAGGTGCTGCAGAAGATCAACATGCAGTCGAAGGAATGCGATGCGTTCTGGCAGCAGACAAACGACTTACAGTCGCAGTTCATCGCCAAACTTGGCATCATTCAGAACCTGCAGCTGCTGATGTCACAGAAGGGCGACGGTGGGGGCGGTGGGGGAGAAAGAGGTGAAGATGGCTTCGATCAGAAGCCGTCGATTGTCACAACGGCCGGTGGTGACCAAGGCGAGAATTTGACGGACAAGTTGAAGAAATCGTTGGAGTTAGTCAGTCGCCAGGCGGGTAAACTGTACCATACACTGATCGACACTCGTAAGGCGTTCCTGCTTATGTTGAAGGAGTGTACAGAGACGGTGAACACATTGCGCAAGGAGCTTGTCAACGGCCTACTGCTCGAGTGGAAGTGTTGCCAGAAGCTGGCGCAGATCGGCTTTCCGTTTGAGCGGCAGGACGAGCAGTTGGACCGTCTCGGTCGTTTATTCGAGGGTCTGGCCGAGGAAGTGTGGACCCTGCGCACGTACGTGCTGTGGCTACGCGAACTATTGACCAAAGCGCCACGGTTGCCTGACCAGAACGTGCAGCAGTGCCTGACCGTGCTTGAGCCAATCCTCGGCGTATTCACTCACGAGTTGCGTACCATCGTGCACCGGTCGTTCGTCGTATCCAAGCAACCAAACGTCGTACTGAAGCAGCACAACAAATTTTCGGCCGAGGCCCGTCTGCTGGTCGGCGATAAGTTCGGCATCAAGTTCTTCAACCTGAAGGTCGGCGTGCGGCTGATCAGCGAAGAGTATGCACGCGCCCTCAAGCCAGACAGCATGCGCCTGCCGCAAGCGAGCACTGTCGCCAAGATCGGCGGTTTTGGGGCGGTCGGCGACGCTGCGGCATCCAACGACTGTCAAGAGGTTAATTTGGAGGTGGATCGTGAGACAAGGCGCGTCCATGCCGTCTTCAAGTCCAAACTGCTGAAGGTCGACCCACGCAAAGCGGCCAACAAAAGTACCGACGAACAGCAACAGATGTCGGTGTGCGAACGCAACTACGCCCTGCTGTTTACGTGCTCGCCATTCAAATTGGGTGATATTTCGTTCAACTCTATCTGGGCGCTGTCACTGCCCGTCAAGCTGACCGTGCATGGTTCGCAGGAACGCCTGTCCCAGGCGATGATCCTCTGGGACCACGCGTTCGCCTCTCCCGAGACGCCGTTCAACATACCAGATGCGGTTGACTGGCTACAGCTGTCTGAAGCTCTGCAAAAAAAGTTCACTTTTCAAACGG